TGTAAGGTGGGGGCAGGGTCCAGTAGTTAGGGCCGTATTCTGTCAGTGGAACCTGGAAATTATAGGTCCTTGGGGGAAAGGCATGACCATTTGTGTGGCTCATGGGACTTACTTACATTAATCAATAAATGAAGTGTACCATAGTTCCATGCAATAGCCAACTGTAATCAGAGCCTCAGACAATTTATAGTCTGTGGGTCAAGAAATGTCACATGAGTAAAGTTTTCATAAATTCAAGCTGTATACAGGTACAAGGGTATGCTAGACATGGAAAACATGTTTTTCACTAGAGACGTGTAAAGGATAATTTAAACATTTAATTGAATAATACCAGCAATCAATAATGGGTACCTCAAGAAAATTAACTTCTAAATGCTACACCCGAGAGAGAAGCTTGGAAACACAGTCCAAGAACAAGTACATGTTTAAAAAAAATAAAACTGAAGCCATAAAATCTTGTTTTCTTGGGGTGTTCTCACAAGCACTCAAAATTCTCATTGGACCCCATTATTGGACTCTGTTCCACCAACTCCCTCCCTATTTTTAAACACGGGATATCCAAAATTTGAGATGCTGCGTATAAATCTAATTGTCATTTGCTACATAAGTATTCTATAACAATTATAAATGTAAAGTATAATATTGAAATTGTCAAAGAATTATCTGTCACCAAGAACAGAGATCCAAACTATGTTGACTACTACTGGTTATATTATCATATTTGTCAAAAAATCTAGAGAATAACTCAAAAAGAGACCCATAAGATTAGTAGTTCTGGTATCTCATAGGACATAAGCCCATATTTGTCTTTAATAGAAATAGATATGTGTCCTATGCAAATTGGAAGTGATTCAAATCCCAAGGAAAAGTTAAACACAGTCCCTTCTTCAGAAGGATGATTGAATCTCTTATGGTCCCAAAGTTCAATCATAAACAGAGTCATTAGTATTGATTAACAGATGCTGGATCCTAACAATCCACAATGTGAAGCAAAGAAAGATGCGTAATGCCAGATCAGTACAAATACTCAGGGCACTCATTGCAGCTACATTGGTCAAAGCACCTAACACTGCTAGAAAGATTCTCAGGTGAATCTGCATAGAATATCTTCTCCCTTGGTATACCAGTATCTTGGCCCCAATGGGACAAATGCAGTTCTGATTATAAGGTTGATATCTCCTTCTGCCCATTAGCTGGAAGGTTGCTATCTTTCCTGTGACTTCCACCCTCTTCTCATCCTGCACAGCTATGGAGCGGAATAGAAATCCATAATGTTTCAGTGGATCTATCTGCAATAACAGACACAAATCCCATCCCAAATTTCCAAGTACCACTGTTTAATTCACACAGGCCCATCTCAAGGCAGTCCAGTGTGCTCTGTAGAGAAATGATTTTGAGGACTCAAACATATATAACCTGGGGGTAAATTTTAAAACTTAAAAGTATCCCTTGGTACTTTCCCTTTTTAATGTTTTTAATTAGTTGTTATTGTTTTAATATTCTATGTACTCTTTCAACTATATCCTGGCATTAAAGATTTCAAGAAATGCCTGTAATGTGATTAATACTCCATTACTTACAGTTCTTAAGTATTTTATTAGTATATGCTATTCCATTGCAAGTTACATAGAAGTAGGTACTCCATAATAGAAAGGTTGTATAAGAGAAGAGCATACTGCAGAAGCATTCTCTGAGGATTGAGGTGTAGCCCAAAGAAACTGAAAACCTATATAAACAAAGGCATGCAGGTACATCATGCAAGGTTCAAGAGCAAAGGGAGTGACAGCCATTTGCTAAATTTCATTAGTATTTTTAATTCTCTCATGCTATATGACTCTGATAGTGTAGAAAACATAAATAGGACATTCCTGAATAATTTACCTCACTTCTAAATAGAATGGGATATTGTACATAAAGTCAAATAGCTTTACATGTAGGTACCCAATTCTGTGCTTATGTACCTGTTCTGAGAAGTAAAAATAGGGCAGGCTCATGCATCATCAGCTTGCTTCTGTCCTTCTGCAATGAAAAATGCAGGGAGGTTAGAGTATGAGTAATAAACAAGGATGTGTGCTGGTTTTAACCAGATATTGTAGTTCCTGTAATAAAGGGAGAATAACAGGAAGTGAAGATAAAATTAAAGCAAGCAGCTTCTATTGCTGGAAATATTCCTACAACATAAACAGTTTCTGAAACAATTTTTAAAGATTTATACATGAACAGCTGGTTCCACCTGTTGAGCTCAGGAAAAAGAACTATTAATAGATTGATGAATTTCTGAACTATGAATTCTTCCTAATTCATTTGATGAGCCATCAATAAATTTCTGCCTGTGAAATAGGAGGAGTCTGAACAATTTTTATAATCATAAATTCAGGTCATATGAAAAAATGCCATAGTCTGACAGCTGGATAATAATTTCCTAGACTTCCACAGTAATCTGCAAATGATTTGAAACTCCATAGAGTTCTTTAGCACTGATTGTTAGTTAAGGATCATATAATACTACAAAAATCAAATTAATAGTATTGTTAATATCCGATACTAAGAAAGAAGAGGAAAGTTGGTAGTATTTTTCACCCCTTATGATGTAAATAAATCCATTCCAGAGGTTTACCTGGTGTCAAAATGCTTATAGGAGACAAATTAGTGGGAAAAATACATCATTTTAAAGGCAGTGTAGAATCCACATAATATACAAAATGTCTCTTTTAGTCCATATTCAAATACCTGTAGTTCTTACTTTGCCCCTGGAGGTAGTAATATGTGAGAACTATCCAATACTGTCATTCTACAGTTTTAAATAGAATAGTTAGTGCATCATTAGGTACTCTTAAAAAATGACACAGCCAATTAATATGCTCTAACAATTTCTGAAAGTCTGTTTTTAAATTATCTAGTGAAAATTTGTGTGTATGTGGCTTAATAGTTGATCTAGTAACTAATTATCCCAAATGTTGCAGAGTCTAATCTTTGTACCATTTCAGTGCAAAAATGACATGTTCTGAGACATGTCATATATGAATTGTAGCTCCGCCTATTAGGAACATGCATACAGGGTATTATCCATATATTGAATCATATAAGGCTAAAGGAAGGCCTTTCTCACAGGCTCTGACACCTTTTCTATACAGTATTTACAAATAGTTGGGGAGTTTGTCATGCCTTGAGGTAATAAAGTCCATTGGCATTGGAGCAGAGGTTCTACATGTTTGAACAGAAAGGGCAAATCCAAAACTATTATTGAAAGCCAGTATTTATGAATACCTATCGTGATTTAATAAGGATCAGGATTAACAAATAAGCAGAATAGATGTTTATTCAGGGGGAAATAATTTACAACGTAAACAGATGAACACCAGCAGGTTCCTGGTCCCAAGGATGCCTCCAGATGCTCTCCTGTCTGCATCCTGCCAGCAAGAGATCTCCCGAGCTCCTCCTCAGACCTAGTTTCCCCAAGTCACTTCCGCCCCTGGCTCCACCCACAATGGGCGTGGCCACTGCCACAGATGCGGACAAAATTAATATCTCACTACAAATACCTATGGGTATGAGTAAATAGGGCTGTAACCCTCCCATTGGCCAGTTAGTGTTTTGTGGCCTTGATGGTGTAAATAAATCAATTTCAAAGATTTATCATCTTATACTATGTCTAGGTGACAATTTAGTGAGGAAATGAGTATGTTTAAAGGCAACAAATGATCCATAAGATACACAAATGCCTCTTTGGTCTGGATTCAATAGCTGTAACATTTAGATTTTGCTGGAGTTGCTCTTGACATACAAATTACAGCTCATGAGGCCAGAAAGGAAATCATAAATGAAATTAGCTTCCCCATAGACTCTCCTAAGTCTTCATCAAAATGGAGAATTCAAGATTTGGTTGATGAGTAAATGCCTCAGGGTCTTTTTCAGAAAATAGATGACATGTATCTAGAGGTGGCTCCAATAAGGGAGCTGAGAGACCTTGGTGATGCTATTTTTTCTTTTGATTTTCCCTGAACATGGAAAAATCAGCATTTTTGCTTCTTTTACCATTTTTAAGGTTTGATCATAAAGTTTATATTCATTCAAGATTTATCACTCACTGAGTCGAACTAGAAACCAAATGCAGACAGAGAGGACAAGACCGGGTTGCAGAAACACATAGAGACAACTGACCTGAACAATGGGCCCCCAGACTGATAGCTGGGAATCCAGCATGGGACTGACTCAGGCCCCCCCTGAATATGGGTCTCAGCCAGAAGGACTGAGCAGTCTAAGGGACCTTAGACAGTGGAACCAGGATGTATCCCTGGTTCACAAAAGGACCTTGCAAATACATCCCCCATGGAGGGATACTGCCTTAACCTAGAGACAGGAGTAGTCCTAGTCCCTACTTCAAATGACCTGACAGATCTACATGACCCCACCTGGATGGCATTGCCCTACATGTGGAATTGGGGTGGGGGGATGGGAGGGGAAGGTGGTCAGGGTGCGTGTGAGGGGGCAGAGAGGGTAAAAGGGAGGGAGGGAGGTAGAGGGAACTGGGATCGACATATAAAATAATAAATTAAAAAAAAAATTATCACTCCTTCATGAATACCCTCTTTATCTTCCTTAATCAATTTAGTAAGAGTCCAAGTTAATGAACAAGTGACCCAAAATTGAACAGGGATCTCTCTCCTTGGTTATATGCTTTCCAATGTCCTTTTGGATTCTGTCCCATACTGCTTCATCTAAAATTCCTTCTTCTGGAAACCAGGAATCACAATCATAAACAATTTGCAGTGTGGTTTCAATAATTGTGTTCCTCCTTACTCTAAAAAAATGATGTACTAGTTAGACATAAGGCAAAGCCTTCCCTGGTTACTGTTACATTATTCTCACCTTCTTTTTTGTGGGTCTTCACTCTCTTATCTTGTAGCCAACTTCTGGTTGCTCTTCAAGCACTACTTTTCATCATTCTAAAGATGGTGGGACCTGGGAGAAAGGAGCCAATAAATGTGGAAGACGAAAGCCTGATACAACAGCCAACTTTATTCAGAGCCCAAGACAATTTATATTCTGCAGGTTAAGAAAGGTCACATGAGGAAGAAAGGTCTCATGACTTCAAGCTGTATACAATGATTAAAAACAAGTCACATGGCACAAACATGTTTTTCCATAGAGGCATATAAATAGTTTAAGCATTTAATGAATAACAACAGCAAGCAATAATGTGTAATCTGAAATCAACTCACATCTATCTGCTACACCTGGGAGGAGCACAAAAATACAATCTAAGAAGAATTTCAAGTTTTGAAGACTCTTGTCTTTTGGACTGTTACCATAAGGAGGTCTTTAATGACCCCTTTCTGGAACCATGTTCCAACAATACATCTAATTTTATTTTAGTTTTAGGAAAAAACAAAATATATAAATGAAGGTCTTTTAAAAATATGGAGCATACACATAAACAAAATACATAAATATCTGTCTTTGAACCATTCGTATACCTGGTGCCCGAGGAAGCATCAAATATCCAGGACAAGGCATTAGAAGTAGTTCTGAGCTATCTGATGTTGATGCTAGAAATCAAATGTAGGTACCCAACAGCAGCAGCACTATTGAGACAATTCCCCAACTCCCAAATGTCATTACATTGTAGAAGATGAATATGTACCATTACTGTTTCTATCTTATCACTTGGAGGTGATGAAATTCCCTATTTGCTCATTGAAGGATTGTATGATTTCTATCCCTCTGTGAATAGACTCTGCACATTGCTTCTTATTGTAATTGTTAACACGATTTTCTTCATAAGAATGAAGACAACAAAATAATTACCTGAGTAGAGATGAGTCCAGGTTATATTAGGGAAAGTTCCATCATGTGACATATTCTTCTTTTTAAAAAGTTTTATTTACATGCATAGGTATTTTGTTTGCGTGCATGTCTGTGTGAGTGTGTTTGACACCCTGGAAAAAGGACTTACTGTCATGAACTTTCACATGGATGCTGGGAATTAAAACTCTGTCATCTGGAAGAACAGCCAGTGTGTTTAATTGTTGAGCAGTCTATTCACAACCCATTTTGGGAGGTGGGGGGTTGAGACAGGACATCTTAGTTAAAATTTCAACAATGAAGCACCATGAGGAAAAAGCAAGATTGGGAGGAAAGGTTTATCTGGCCTATACTTCCATATTACTGTTCATCATTGAAGGAAGTCAGGGCAAGGAACCAGGAAGCAGGAGCTGATGAGCAATGGAGGAATACTACTTACTGACTTGCTCACCGTGGCTTTCTCAGCCTGCTTTCTTATAGATCCCAGGACTCTTCCCTATGAACCACCAATTAAGAAAATGCCTTATGGATCTTATGGAGGCATTTTATCAACTGGGTTTCCCTCCTTTCAGACAGCTCTAGTTTGTGTGTGAAGTTGACATAAGAGCTAGTACAACTGACCACTTGTCAACTTGACACATAAACATATCAGTATCAAGCCACAACCTTCCCTTTCTTATTCATTCCCAGAATTTCATATTAAAAACATAAATGACTTTAATAAAAGTCCTATAATCTTTACAAGTTTAAACACATGAAAATTTTTCTTTAAAAATATCCGATCTCACTAAAAATCCAAAATCTCTTTTAAAAGTTCAGTCTTTTAATTATGGCTTTTTTAAAAATCAAAATTAAATTAAATACCTTCTCCCTTCAAGAGGGAAGAATGAGGGTAGACACATTTTGAAAAAAAGAAAAACAAACTCCAACAGTATAAATGACTCTACTACTAATGACTGGGAGCCATTCACAATCTTCAGGGCTTCTCCAAAGGGCTTGAGTCACTTCACTAGCACTGGCCTCTGCAGTACACACAACTTCTTGTCTAGGCTCTGGCTGGTTCCACTTCACCACTGCTGATGGTTTTGGTGGACACCCCATGGTACCAGTACCCCCAAAACGATGGTGTCTTTGCTTCCTGTGCAAAGCTTTACCTCTTTTATGAGGTTCATGGGACTTTTCTCTAGTATGTATTCTTTCATGATATTGAAGATGACTCTTACGAGCAAAAGCTTTACCACATTGATTGCATCCATAGGGTTTCACACCAGCATGACTTCTTTCATGACTGAGAAGATTACTGCGAGATGAAAAGGCTATACCACATTGATTACATTCATAGGGTCTCTCTCCAGTATGACTTCTTTCATGCCTTTGAAGATGACTATTATGTGCAAAAACTTTACCACATTGACTACACTCATAACGTTTCCCTCCAGAATGACTTCTTTCATGCCTTTGAAGAAGACTGTTATGTACAAAGGCTTTACCACACTGGTGACATTCAAAGGGTTTCTCAACAGTATGATTTCTTTCATGCCTTTGAAGACTACTGGGATATGCAAAGGTTTTACCACATTGACTACATTCATAGGGTTTCTCTCCAGTATGACTTCTTTCATGTATTTTACGTTCACTGGGACGTGCAAAGGCTTTTCCACATTGATGACATTCATATGGTTTTTTTCCAGTGTGAATTTTGGGCACTTGAAGATAACTGTGACATGTATAATCTTTATCACCTTGACTATATTCATAGGGCTTCATTTTCAATTGAGTTCTTTGGTGTAAGTTTAAAGAGGAATCAGAGCTAAATGTTTTGTCGTGGTGTTTACATTCCTCTTCACTATGGGATCTTCTGTGTGTTTGAAGATACCTGTGTTGGTTTAAGCCTTTAGTACGTGGCTCACATTTACAGCATCCTTTTCCCACATGAGGTTTTTCACATCTTTGAAGAGAATTGGAAGAACTCAGAGCTTTACCACACTGGTTGCATTCATAACATTTCCCTGTAGTGTGAGTCACATTACATGTGCAACATGAACCAGGACAGACAGAAGGGTTTCCATACTCATTGTACTCACAAATCTCTTTTCCAATGTCAGTTTGTTCATGTATTCCCAGTGAAGTTGGAAATTCAATTAATTCTACACTTGTATCACAATCACTATGTCTTCTCGCAGTGGGAACAACTATATATTTCCTATTTTTTCTGGGAGACACGGGGGAACATTGCTTCTTTCCATACCCCTTAGGATCACATGGCTTGTATCCAGAGTGGCAGATCATATACCTATTTAAGGAATAATAACAAAAGGTTTTCACATTACATTCACATAGTTTAACTTTATGTTCCTCATAGATATACAAATTAAGATCTCTTGATTGTTAAAAACTGACCCCCTCACTAAACTATGGTAAATCTATTCAAACATATGAGTAACATTAGCTTGACTATGGGACAATTTGCTAGAAGTTGTTCTTGGACATGCCATAATGCCCTAATGAATGTGAATGCCTTTACAATACTTGAATAGAGTGAAAGTAAATGGATGCATAGTTCTGTAACATGGATCTCAGGGGACTATACTGATATGGTTCCATCTGTGAAGGCACTGTTTCCTTGTCTTGTTTCTTAGAGAACTGCCTTGCAAACACAGGTCAGGTACCTGAAATTGAGGTACATGATGTTTTAAGAATTTAATAATTATCACAATGCTGTAATTATTGACACTGTTGCTTTTCATTAAATATCAGGTATATTAAAATTTCTTCAGAGGCACAAATCTATCACTTTGCACAAGAAAATTACCTTCCATGTCTTCTAGAACTTTGACAATGTTCTTCAATATTTGGATCTTCCCACTTGTAGCCTAAAATATATTACAGAAATGTGTATTATTGAAAATTATGCAAATTCAGTTATTATCTTCAGTGAACCTTAGAACCAGGAATTACTTATTTACCACATTCTTCTTCTTTAACAGTCAAAATCACGTGAATCACCAATCTCCAAAAAAGGCTTATCCCCTTAAGTTACAAAGTAACAAAAAGCTCACATTCTTACCTATAGAAATGAGGTTCTCACAGGTTTCCAGCATCACATCTTTGTAGAGACTCTTCTGGGAAGGATCCAGCAAAGCCCACTCTTCGTGAGTGAAGTTCACATGCACATCCTCATAGGTCACTGCATCCTAAAATATCCCATATATGTATGTAACTGAAGTTGTGAGGCTGCATTGAAAATGTACACTTCATTTGGGAATATACTGCCATGATTTTGTGTGCTTCACAAATTTATTTAACAGCACAGAATTTCAAATGCACTCACCAAGTCATATTAGAATGAAAGAAAAAAGGAGAACCATGCCTCTCATTTCTGAGCCCTCTGAAGAGTATATGACATTGCAAAAAATGCTGACTTACATATATAGAGACATGCAAACAGAGCATTAGTGTTGAATAAACATCAGCAAAACCGTATCAAAACTACTGACATCAAATAATGATGGACAAGATGGGCATGTTGGTGCACACCTTTAATTCTAAAACTCAGAAGGCAGAGACAAGTAAATCTCTGTGATTTCCAGGCCAGCCTGGACTATGTATCAATTTCCAGGACAGCCAAAGGTTTACATTGAAATCCTGTCTCAAACAAGAAAAAAAATAAATAAATAAATAAAAATAGCACTCAGAGGCTCACTATAAATTCCACCAATTAGTTAAAAATCCACTCAAGATATGTACTTGTCTTTCAGAAAATTGGACTGCCTCATTTAAACTCTAAGGCTAATATGATATTCTTAAGAAGGAATGCACTTTTAATGTTATTGCCTGACAGATTAAAGAGTTCTTAAAAACATTAGTGACAAACAACTTGCGCTAAAATAAATAAATAAACAAAACAAACACACAAACAAACAAAAACCCCCGGCAAAGTATGAAGATAGGTCAACAGTTAAAAATCACCTATTGCTTTTCCAGAAGCTCTGTATCAATCCCCAGTGATGGGAGATGTCATTACGTAAATATGTTTTTCTTAATGGTTAATAAATAAAGCACTGTTGGCCAATAGGAAAGCAAGATAGGTGGGACTAGGACACAAGAAGAATTTAGGGAGAGGTAGAAGAGGATTCAGCATGTAGGGCCAAAAATACAGAACTCCAGATCCTCTCTCTGATAAGGCAAGACCACATGAAAACACTTAGATTAATAAAAATGGGTTAATATTTTAAGACAGAGTTAGCCTATAAGAAACACTAGTAACAGGCCAACAGCTTTATATATAATACAGCGTCTCTGCATGTTATTTTGGGCTGGCGCTGCTGTGGGACCATCATAGTGGGAAAACATGCTTGTAACAAAATGGCACCCAACGTGGGGCACGAACCCACAACCCTGAGATTAAGAGTCTCATGTTCTACCAACTGATGTGTTTGAGATGAATAGGCATTCTTCAAACCTTCAATATGGCATTTTAAATGCTTTAGGGTTCTTCTTGACAGTGAGACATAACTGCTCCTAGCAACACCACCTGCATCAGAAAGGAAGATGGACCTTGAAGAAACGCGTTAAGGAGTTTACATCCAATATGGCAAGACTACCCATTTGGGCAAGATACTGCTCTTGTCTGGACTGTTTGACTTTATGCTGTATAAACTGGACATGCAGGACCCATAAGAAAGTGGCTGCTGATACAAGATGGACATTGATACAGGTTTCCTGTTTCATAGAAGAGTCTGCCAGACAGTCTACAGGACAAAGAGAAAAGTGAATGACAAACTGCCAATACAGGTGGACAGTTTAAAGTTTCCTGCTTTGCTGAGGAGTCTACCAGACACACTATGGCCTATGGGCTAAAGATGGAATATTACAGAAAAACTTCGGGTGACTGACCAGGCAGTGAATTGTCTCTGTCATTTCTAGAGTTTATATATTATCCTTCTGTGGTCTTTGATGGAGTTGAAGACAGATAGTTATGGTTATAGTTTTCCTTAGTTAGGATTAAAGATAAGTTACATGCAGGACTTTAGACTCACAAAGATAAGATAGATGATGAAATATTTGTTTTAAATCTTGCTAAATGTTAATGGACTAAACATTGTTAACTGTGGTTCTTATTTAATAACTGTTTTGTTATATATTTTACTATGTTAAAGTTAAAACTCTTTTTATTTAGACAGAAAGGAGGAGATAATGGGAGATGTCATTCTGTAAATATGTTTCTCTTATTGGCTCATGAATAAAGCACTGTTGGCCAATAGAAAAGCAAGATAGTTGGGACTACAAGACAAGGAGAATTTAGGGAGAGGTAGGAGAGGAGTCAACATATAGGACAGAAAGAGCAGAACTCCGGATCCTCTCTCCAGTAAGCCAAGACCACATAAAAACACTTAGATTAATAGAAATGGGTTAATATTTAAAACATAGCTAGCCAATAAGAAACACTAGTAACAGGACGACAGCTTCATATCTAATACAGTGTCTCTGTATGGTATTTGGAGCTGGTGCAGCTGTAGGACCAGGATAGCAGGAAAACATGTTCGTAACACCCCAGTGCTCACTTGAAGATCCCAACAATTTGTAATTCCATTTCAAGAGTATCCAGTGGTCTCTTCTGACTTCAGTGAACACCAGGCACACACAGTACATATGCATATTTATAAGTAAATGACTCATGCACATATTTCAAAAATTTTTTAAAAAACATGGGTAAAGATATGAAGATATTACACATCTACAATGCAATGATTCAGAAAATCAGTATTAATGTCATGAATGCATGAATGCATCCTTGTGTGAAAAAGCAATTCTTTCTGCCAAAGTTTAAAAGTAAAGGAGTAGTTAAAGCTCAGCACAAGAGCAAATGCTTCACATGTACAAAAACCTCAATCAGCCAAAAGTACAAAAATAAAAATATCAGTGCAGAAAAATGTCTTAGCAAGGAAAAACAGTTACTTCTGCTTTCCCTTATGTTATTTAGGAACAGAGTCTGTTATGATTGTTATGTCATAGCTGCATGAGAAGGACAGGAGCTGCTCAGTTTCAACCAAAGAAAGAAGACAAGTGTGATCAGGATAAAAACACTCAACGGCCATTCCCAGACACTAATGTACTCCAAAAAAAGACCATTATCCTAGAGGCACCCCGATGAAAACCACAAACCAGAAACAAAAGTCTCAACTACATCTTCATAAATGAGAGATTTTTCATTCAATCCACCACATTTCGACACAGGTCATGAGAGGTTCACCCTCGACCCATAATGCAAAATGCAATTAGTCTAGCAACAAAGATCCCCATGTTCCGAACAGTGCCAAAACTGTTAGAATGTACAAAGACTATTCTCACACTGAAGGCCATCTCTTGACAGTGTTACCTTGTGAAATTAAAAAAAAAAAAAAATGTCTATACAACACACAAAGGTACAGAATACACATTTCCTTTTCAAAGAAGTAAGAAAAGATAAAAGCAAGGCAAGAATGAAACCCTGCTGGGCAAACTTCCACTCCACATGCAGCTATTCATGGCAGGTGTCTCAACACCCAGTAGTTTCAAAACGCAACCCAGTCTTCATTTTCACACCTTCATACAACGAACTACCACATCTCCTCACTGGGCTGTACTCTGCAAACAGTGCTGGACTGAAAGCACAGAAGAGTCCATGACATTTAAACTGTGTATCTTTCTTCTTTCAAGGAAATGTGACACATGGGGTTCTAACTTTGGACTGACACTGGTCCACTGGAACAGATCAGCAAAAAGCTCTGTATGAAGTTGCTTTCTGGGACTAGGAACCTTGTAGCCTTTTCCTTCCCTATTTAAATGCTTGGCTGGGTAGGCAGGACCCTTGCAAGACCTCTTCCATAGGTGCTTTCTCTTTAATAGCACTAACCTCCCTCATAATTACAGCCTCAGTTTCAGCACATGGCTGTCCTCTAATACTACTTAGCTCTGTTTTTCTTGCCAAACACATAGGTTTCATTAATTTCTTCCCCTATTGTTGCTCTTGTCCTCTATGGTTTTTCATGAGTCATAAGAAATAACCAAGCCACAGACTAAATGTTTTGTCAAGACAGTCAATGACTCTTTAATTTAGCCTTACTTATTTTCAGAGGACTCAGGATGAATATACACAGAAAATATGCCAAAATATTACATAAAACTTCTATCTTAGTTATTGCCCCATTGCTGTGAAGAAGCACTATGACCAAAGCAACTACTACAATGCAAGGCTCTTAATTTGGGGCTTGAATGCAGACAGAGGATTAGACCATTATCATCATGAACGGCAGCATCAAGATAGATATACATGGGGCTGAGACTAACATCCTCATACAGACAGGCAAACAGAAAGAAACACATGATTTGGGCTTTTGAAATTTCAAATCCCACTTACAGCGACACCTTAACAAACAAGACACACCTACTCCCACTTGAGCTTACCTCCTAATTGTACACAATTAATTCCACTAACTGGGGACTGAGCATTGAAAGATAGAGCCTGAGGGTCTTGAACAAATATAAATAAAGTAATATAACATTAAGTAGCAAGAGCTCTAAAGGAAAAGAGTGAAAGAAATTGAGGAAAGACAGGGAATGAGAACAAAGGAGAAGGAGATGAAGAGGGAGAGAGAGAAACAACAGGAAGAAAATAGTTACCCCCAAAAAGGGGGACGCTGGGTTACAGGATTCATCAGTATAACCTTCCCTTCATTATCTGAGATTAAACAATACAAGACCTCAAAAATTAGATTTAAGTGCCTATATTTTCTCTAGGTACAAAGAATTATCCCTTGCTTCCCTTCATGCCCAATTCTTTCAGAGAATGTGGGAAACTGTAGATCAGGTCTGGTGGAAGCAGTGAAGGTGATCTCTTGGTGTCTTAAGCGTGACTTTTGTAGATGATGTCATTTGGAAGGTGCATTTCTAACTGGTAGAAGTGACTCACAAGCTAAGGTTTTAAATTCAATCTCATTATTATAGCAAGTTGGATTCTGAAGATCTTAAATTCCAGCCAACATGAAGAATCACAGATCCATTTGAGCACAGCCCAGACCATACTGTAATTAAATTCGGCCAAGCAACATTTTGTGCATGGGGACTGAGGAGAAGGTGAAACACCTGGATGACAATGTTTGGTTATCACAGTTATAATCTGTGTGGTAAAACACATGGATCAACTCAACTGTCT